TCGAGATGAAGTTTCGCTCTTGTTGCCCAGGCTGGAGTGCAAAGGTGCGATCTTGGCTCACAGCAACCTCTGCCTCCCAGATTCAAGCAATTCTCCTGCCTCAGCCTCCTAAATAGCTGGGATTGCATGCACGCAACACCACGCCCAACTAATTTTGTACTTTTAGGAGGGACGAGGTTTCACCATTTTCTCCACATTGGTCAGGCTGGTCTCAAACTCCTGATCTCAGGTGATCCACCCGCCTCAGCCTCCCAAACTGCTGGGATTATAGGTGTGAGCCTCTGCACCTGGCTAAGGTCCCAAATCTCATCTTCTAAATCAGGCCCAGGTGAGGCTCTGGGTATGGGCCATCCCAGGTTCAAAATTCTTCCCCATCTGTTCACCTAGAAAACTAGAAAATAAGTTGCCTGCTTCTGAAATATAATGGTGGGACAGATATAGAATCAACATTCTCATTTCTAAAGGGATCAACTGGAAAGGATAAAGGAGCCATGTGTTCTAAGAAAGTCCAAAACCCAGCAGGGCAAATTTAATTCGGATTCAAGTCCTGACAATAATCTCTTGCGGCTTGATGCTTTGCTCTCTGGGCCAGCCATGGAGGTTACATTGGCCCTGGCTTCCGGGCTGCTTGCAGAGGCAGAAACCTGGCTGTCCCCACCAACCTCTGAGCTGCCATGGAGAGGCCATTCTTCCCTTTTCTTGAAGGATAACGCATGTTTGCAGCTGAGTAGCTCCATCAGCCCATTTCCTACTCATAGAATCTGAGAAGTCTGACAGCCTTCCTTGGTTTCACCCTGTCTCTGTCCCCTTCAATCCAAGCTGGCAGTATTTTTGGTGAGGTAACATTCTCCAAATCATTGTGGTCTCCTGTGCATGTCAAGAGGGATCCATTCATTAAATAAAAGGGTCCTCCACAGGTCCTTCTTGGATAAACCTACTCCAATTCCTGACTTCTGCTAAGATGGCTGACTGGATCCATGAGTCACACATGCTGATTTTAATCTGCATCTGCTTAATCTCACCAGCGGAAGATCATCCAGTCACACTTTCTTGCCAGTGCCTGCCTTAGCATCTTTTGTAATGTGGATAGACTGAGAATTTTCCAGATCTTCAAGCTCTGGATTCTATTTGCTTAACAGCTCATGCCTCAATTTCTCTCTCTCCTATTGTCTTTTGCCACAAGCATCAAGAAGAAACCGGGATGCACCTTCCACACTTTGCTTGGAAATATACACAGCTAAATACCCAAGTTCATTTCTTACAAGTTTTGCTTTCCACCCAACAGCACAACACAACTCAGACAAGTTTCTACCACTTTATAACAAAGGTTGCTTTTCTGCCAGCATCCAATAACATGTCCATCATTTTATCCTAGGGCCTCACCAGAATCACCTTTAACATTCATATCCCAGGCTGCAGTAGCAACACTCTGTTCATGACAATATATGTATTCTCTAGAATGATGGAAACTTTCTCTACAGCTCTCCTCACTTATTCCAGAGCTCTCTCACCAGAATCACCTTTAATTTTTTTTTTTTTTTTTTTTTTTTTTTTGAGACGGAGTCTCGCTGTGTCTCCCAGGCTGGAGTGCAGTGGTGTGATCTCGGCTCACTGCAAGCTCCGCCTCCCGGGTTCACGCCATTCTCCCGCCTCAGCCTCCCAAGTAGCTGAGACTACAGGCGCCCGCCACCACGCCCAGCTAGTTTTTTGTATTTTTTAGTAGAGACGGGGTTTCACCATGTTAGCCAGGATAGTCTCGATCTCCTGACCTCGTGATCCACCCGCCTCGGCCTCCCAAAGTGCTGGGATTACAGGCTTGAGCCACCGCGCCTGGCCATCACCTTTAATTTCTATGTTTCTAGCAACAATCTCTTCAAGACAATCTAGACTTTTTTTTTATCATGCACCTCAAAATTAAGCAGTAGAAACATATTCCGCCATAGTTATGGAGCTAAAAGTGTGAAACCAAGGTGTTAGCAGGGTTAGTTCCTACTGGAAGCTCTGAGGGAAACTGTTCCATGCTTCTCTTCTGGCTTCTGAAGGCTGCCATGCTCCTTGGTCCCCTCAGCTTGCAGCTGCATCACCCCAACCTCTGCCTCCATCTTCACATGGCCTTCCGTGCTGTGTCAGTCCATGAGCTTTTATGTCTCTGTTTTCTTTTCATTGTTTTTATTGTTGTTTTGAGATGGAATCTTGCTATGTTGCCCAGACTAGCCTTCAACTCCTGGCCTCAAGCAATTCTCCTGCCTCAGTCACCCAAGTAACCAGGACTACAGGCATGAGCCACTGCACCCAGCTTTGTTTTCTTTTCTTATGATGACATTAGGCCCAGTCTAATCTAGTATGACCTTAACTTGATTACATCTGCAGTGACCCTATTTCTAAATAAAGTCACATTGTGTATCTTTTTGGGAGACACAGTTCTACTCACTGCAGTGTATAAAATCCCTATAAGCGAAATGTTCATTTTTATCTCACTGCTTGTTTTACTGAAGTGGTATATATTCAGAGGCATCAGTGTCAGAAGATAGGTTGCACTGAAAATAGCATAGCCCCCAAATGCATTTTGTCACCAAGAGTCACGAAGGAGGACTTCATGTTGAGAACCTATGGAGCAGGGAGTTTCAACAAATTCTTATAATTTTTTGCCTGGCCAAGCAGGCCAACAATGTCCAGTTACTCGATTTGATCGAAGCACATATTGAGCAATATTTCAGAGTCTGGAGCTCAAGTTCTGGCATCAGATGGCGTGAGTTTAAATCCAAGATCCACTATGACCACATTCAAGTCACTTAGCTGTGCTGCTTTTCCCACTTTCCTAAGTGTCTATTGGGGATTATGATGGTATGTACCTACATGAGGCAGTTTCTGGGACTGACAAAGGCTCACGTAGGCTGAGACCTTATTGGGAGGCCATGGGAGAGTGCGCAGTATGGACAGTCAGGCTGGAGTGCCAGGTTCCATGCCAGGCTGTCAGCCTTGGTCCCACTACTGGTGAGAATGTTGGTGCTGATGCCACAGTCCCTGGAGCCTCTCTGCAGACACCAATAGACTCCCAGGTCTGCATTGCTGCCTGGAACAATCTCTCCCAACCTTTGCACCTTTAAAGCATCCTTCAGAATCCACGTCTCAGCTGGTGGTGGTGGTGGGGTCTCTGGTGGCTGAGCCCTGATCACATGCTGCATCCTAGAACACCAGGGTCCCCTTCACCACCCTGGTGAGTAGGAGACCTTGCCTCCCATCAATCCCCATACAGCAGAAGATTCCCCCAAATAAGAAGAATGTTTGGATATTGGCCAGCCAAAAAAGGAAAAAAAGTCCCTTATGCTATCTGTGACAGAAGGATATGATGACTGGATGATATACTGAAAGCACATTTAGCATGGTACACGGTACATAGCAAGGTATGACAAATGGGAGTCATTGTTATTATTTAGAACTAGACTAGGTACTAGGAGATACTAGGTGAATAAGACATTCCATTCCTGGCTCTCAGGGATTCACAGTCCATGAAGAAAGAACCATGCATGCCAGTAACTCTTACATAAGCTAGAACCTGACGTGTGCCATGCAGAAGCGAGTATAGAAAGCAGGAGATGGGGCCAGGTGTGGTGGCTCCCACTTGTAATTCCAGCACTTTGAGAGGCTGAGGCAGGTGGATCACTTGAGGTCAGGAGTTCAAGACCAGCCTGGCCAACATGGTGAAACTGCATCTCTACTAAAATTACAAAAACTAGCCGGGCCTGGTGGCGTAACCCTGTAATCCCAGCTACTTGGGAGGCTGAAGCATGAGAATCACTTGAACCCAGGAAGTAGAGGTTGCAGTCAGCTGAGATCATGCCACTGCACCCCAGCCTGGGCAACAGAGCGAGACACCATCTAAAAAAAAAAAAGTGGGAGATGGGTGCAGAAGGGAGGGAATGCCCCATGCTGTCTCAGGGAGCCCGGGAATGCCTCACACAGACGGTATCTGCTTCCATCCACAACCTTTGCAAAGCGCATCCACACGGGAGACAGCACAAGGAAGACAGCGTAGCCCTTTGTAAATTAAAGAAAAATACTGGAGGTGGTTGAAATGCCAGTTGGCTTTGATTTCTGAGTATGAGCACTTGGTATAAACAGATTGCCCCGAGCTGGTTTCAATCCTAGAGATGAGGGCTTGCTTTCTTTCTTTTTTCCACTTGTCTTCTGAAATGTTGTCAGCTGATTCCGAGACATCAGCTGGCAACTTTTTTTTTTTTTTTTTTTTGAGGCGGAGTCTCACTTTGTCACCCAAGCTGGAGTGCAGTGGGGGTAATCTTGGTTCACTGCAACCTCTGCCTCCTGGGTTCAAGCGATTGTCTGGGATTACAGGTATGCGCCACCACGCCCGGCTAATTTTTATATTTTTAGTAGAGATGAGTTTTCACCATGTTGGCCAGGCTGGTCTCAAACTGATGACCTCAGGTGATCCGTCTGCCTCGTCCTCTCAAAGTGCTGGGATTATAGGCGTGAGTCACCACGCCCAGTCTCAGCTGGTGACATTTTGATTTTTTATGTTTGATTGTTTATTCTTAATAAACAAGGCTTACTGAAATCTAACTGATGGCTTCAGGTGGTTAAGAAAAAAAAAAAAAGAAGGAAATTTACAATGCAAAAATAATTCTGTATGCCCTTCTCTCTCCTGCTGTCTCATCTGTCCTGCCTCCTCCCCTACTGACCATAGGGGGATCCTGGGTATATTCGGGGGTAGAAGAAAGCCTGTTGTTTTGGTGTGTAAGGAACTGAGACCTGGGGTCCCCACTCTTGCATGGTGAACATCCCTCTCCTCACTATGATGCAGTTCTTATAAACAGCAAAGTCTTGCTTTTGAATTATGAGTCTGTAGCCTTTTTTTCCCCCACAACCTTGAGCCTCTGCCAACCTTGTTAAAACTCAAGGATTCTTTTATTACAACATTAAGAGTTAAAGGGGAGAATGGATATGGCCTACGACCAGCCTTTTCTGCCACTATTCCACTTGTCAAGGACATGTTAGTTCCCATTTGAAATCTTTCTGCATCACACAACATTTCATCCTCAGGCCCATATGGTCTGTGGGTGGGCCTTGTTCAGCTCCAACAAATGAAAGAAGATTAATTAACAGAAGGAGCTGCAGCTGGGCCTGGAGGCAGTGGCTGTACAGCAGCAGTGAGAGCCAAGCTGTGACGGACACATGCTGTTCCCTGACTCAAGGCTGCCGAGTTCCCTCCAGCGAGGCTGCTGACCTGTTTTTCTATTAGGAACAACCAGCAAATGCGATAATGAGGAAAATGTACACTGGCTCCTGTAAAGTTTAGTGAAGCCTGAAAGAAGTGCAGGAGGCCACGGAGATGCGCGAGGAAGAACATTCCAGGCAGAAGGAGCAGCAAGGACAAAAGTCCCTAGGCAAGAATGGGTGGGCAAGCCTGAGATCCAACATGGCAGAGAGCAAGCCGGAAGTGCTGCGCGGGGATCCTAAGGGGCGCTGAACAGGACAAACTCAGTTTTGTCTCTCAAACTCCCGCAATCAGGTAAGTCATCGGCCTCGCGTAAGATGTATGTTTTCCCCACCAATCTCCATTCTGAGGACTGGAGTAGAAACTCCCTATCCTCTCATGAAATGTTGAGTATCAGGGAATAAGTGTGTGCTAAAAAGGGTTACCTCAGTGGAACTGGGTTGCTCAAATCCTGAGCATTTCAAAGGAAGGACTGGCCCCTGACCAGCTCTGGGGAGATAACTTCTGGCCCTTTGGAATATGCCTGAGGAGAACACCTTTGTGACCTGAGACTTCAGCCCTGCCTACCCCTTATGCTAACGGTGTGGTTTATGGGGAAGACCTGTTTTTATTTGCTGGGAGCCCTGGGCCATGCTGTATCTGTTTGACTTCTGGATGGGTGGGGAACTGGGGAATAAATGGCTAAGGACGGTCATGTCTATATGACAGGAGCTCCATGCCTATATGACTGACATCCATTAAAAATCACGGCACAGGCCGGGCGCGGTGGCTCAAGCCTGTAATCCCAGCACTTTGGGAGGCCGAGGCGGGTGGATCACGAGGTCAGGAGATCGAGACCATCCTGGCTAACATCATGAAACCCCGTCTCTACTAAAAATACAAAAAACTAGCCGGGCGTGGTGGCGGGCGCCTGTAGTCCCAGCTACTCGGAGGCTGAGGCGGGAGAATGGCGTGAACCCGGGAGGTGGAGCTTGCAGTGAGCCGATATCGCGCCACTGCACTCCAGCCTGGGCGACAGAGCGAGACTCCGTCTCAAAAAAAAAAAAAAATCACGGCACAGGCCGGGCGCGGTGGCTCAAGCCTGTAATCCCAGCACTTTGGGAGGCCGAGACGGGCGGATCACGAGGTCAGGAGATCGAGACCATCCTGGCTAACACGGTGAAACCCCGTCTCTACTAAAATACAAAAAAAAGTTAGCCGGGCGAGGTGGCGGGCGCCTGTACTCCCAGCTACTCGGGAGGCTGAGGCAGGAGAATGGCGTGAACCCGGGAGGCGGGGCTTGCAGTGAGCTGAGATCCGGCCACTGCAGTCCAGCCTGGGCAACAGAGCGAGACTCTGTCTCAAAAAAAAAAAAAAAAATCACGGCACCAAGACTTGGGTAAGCTTTCCTGGTTGACAGTAATTGGTGTGCACTGTCACACGTTGTTGCTGGGAGGATTAAGTGTTGTCCCTGTGACTCTGCAGAGAACGCCTGGAAGTTCACTCCCGGTTTCTCCTGAACTCTGCCCTATTGTCCTTTTTTTCTACACTGATTTTAATCTGTATTCTTTTTATCCCCAAGTTCTGGCAAGTCTTTGATGTATTCTTTTCCCGTAATAAACTGTAACTGTGAACATAACAGTTTTTCCAAGTTCTGTGAGCCCTTCTAGCGAATCATGAAACCTGAGAGTGGCCTGGGGGCCCCACAGCAAAGTTGAATTCATCCCATCTATTTTTCCATCATCTTGCTACTCTACCTAGGTGCCAAAGCCCTAGCAGGAAGAGTCTGATTGGCTAACTTGAGTCACCCAGCCCATCTTGGCCAGGGGAGGGGAGGCACCTTGACAAGCAGGCCCCACACAGCTGCACTGAGCGGGAAGGAGGATGCCCAGAATTACTCGTATCAGAAAGAGAGAGTTGAGGCCAGTGTGGTAACTTACACCTGTAATCCCAGTGCTTTGAGATGCAAGAGGATTGCTTGAGCCCGGGAGGTTGAGGTGGCAGTGAGCTGTGATCACTCTTCTAATCTCCAGCCTGGGTGACAAGACCCTGCCTCAAAAAAACAAAACAAAACAAAACAAAACAAGAGAGTTGGGAGCTGGGATGCTAGTTAGGACAAATAGCTAATATACGCACCAGGCAGGGAAATGGGAGTCCAGGCTAGCAGAAAGAATTTGGAGTCTTGAGGAGATAGTGACCAAAAAGCCATGTAGTATCTGGGTTTGTGTCCATCCAACTGTTGGCATCAAGAAATCACAACAGATGATGGAGGGTGCCAGCTGCAGGATGCAGCAGAATGTCAGAGATCCAGATATTTTTGTTGTGAGTTGAAGTGTGTCCACCCCCACCAAAATATGTTAAAGTCCTAACTTCTGGTACTTATTTGAAAATAGGGTCTTTGCAGATGTAAACAGGTTAAGATGAGGTCACACGGGATTAGGATGGGCCCTAAATCCGTTGGCTGATTCCTCACAAAGGGAGAGATTTGATGACGAACAGGTGCACAGAAAGAAGGCCATGTAAAGACGGAGGCAGAGGTTGGGGTGAGTCAACCCAAGGAATGCCAAGGATTGCTGGCAGCTAGCGGAATCAGGAAGGGGCAACAGCAGATTCTTCACGGAGCTGTCAAAAGCATAACCCTGCCAAAATCTTGATTTCAAACATCTGGCCTCAAGGATAATGAGAGAATCAATTTCTGTTGTTTTAAGCCACCAAGTTTGTGGCAATTTATTATGGAAGCCCTAGGAACCGTTACAGATTTTGCCACTGGAAAGGGAATGCTGCTTCTAAAAATATGGGTTGAATTGGCCACGTGGATGGCCAGTGCTGTAGAGAAATGATTGAAATGTCCACTCCTGTATCTACCAATCCTTTAAATTTCTTTCCCTGAATAGTTATTTCGCAGGTAGGACGTTTATCAGTAATTTGATTTACCCAGTAAGCTGCTCTGTCTTGTTTATCTGTGCTTCCAAATCCTCCTGTTCCTTTAATTTCACTTTTCCCCATTCCCACATATGGCACAATCAGGAGCTGTGCTATGCGCTCTCCTGGCTCTGCTTTCCAGGGAACGGAAGTAGACACAACAATTTGAATTTTCCCATTGTAATCTGAATCAGTGACTCCTGTATGTATTTGCACTTCATTTAAATTTAAACTAGACCTACCTAGAAGTAATCTTACCGTCCCTGTTGGCAAGGGTGCACAGACTCCTGTTGGCGCTTTTTGCAGGGTTCTCCAGGCAGAAGGCTCACAGCTTTTGTGCATCGTAAATCTACTGCAGCACTACTGCCTGTGGCGGGGGACAGGCATTGTACAGGGGTAAGGGAATGGCCTGAGCCGGAAATGCCCCAGTTTAGAACAGGGCCCAGGACGGGCCCCTCATGGCATTTCCCAAAATCGGGTTCCCATCTTTATCAAACTTAGAGTGACATTGATTAGCCCAATTTTTTTCCTTTTTTACATTTTGGACATATTTCAGGCTCAGCAGGTTTCTTTTCTCCCCCCATGTGGCAGCCTGACTCGCTGATTCTTCCTACATTCTTTTTTTTTTTTTTTTTTTTTTGAGACGGAGTCTCGCTGTGTCTCCCAGGCTGGAGTGCAGTGGTGTGATCTCGGCTCACTGCAAGCTCTGCCTCCCGGGTTCACGCCATTCTCTCGCCTCAGCCTCCCAAGTAGCTGGAACTACAGGCGCCCGCCACCACGCCCGGCTAGTTTTTTGTATTTTTAGTAGAGACGGGGTTTCACCATGTTAGCCAGGATGGTCTCGATCTCCTGACCTCGTGATCCACCCGCCTCGGCCTCCCAAAGTGCTGGGATTACAGGCTTGAGCCACCACGCCCGGCCTCCTACATTCTTTTTTAATATGACCATGCTTCCCACAGTTAAAACAAGCTCCAGGAATTGGAGTATTTCCTTTACCCACTTTCAGTCCTGCCATGGCTTGCACCAACCAAGTAGCTTTATGCAGATTACCTCCGATACTGTCACAGGCCTTAATATAATCAACTAAATGTGCTTTCCCTCTAATAGGTCTCAGAGCGACTTGGCACTCAGGATTGTCATTGTCGAAAGCTAGTAACCACAACAGTGTATCCTGAGCAGCAGAATATGCAATCACCTTTCTAAGAGACTCCTTTAACCGAACTATAAAATCTGCATATGGTTCTTTTGGTCCCTGTTTTATAGCACTAAAGGAAGGGCATTGTTCTCCTCCTGAAGTGATTTTTTCCCAAGCTCTAATGCACACTCCTCTAAGTTGCTCTATGGTATCATCCTGCATGACCACTTGTGTGTCTGGAGCTGCACGCCCCGGCCATAGCGAATAATAACTGACGATTAAAAACGCCTGAGCTCTATTCATTTCCACCTTCTACCTCCTCCCTAGATTTACCTTTTTCCCTGTATTAATACCTCATAAAAGATGGCGCTCTTCCTGCTTCTTCTTCACCCATTTTTCCCGCGCCCATGAAAATTACTGACAGCGCAGGTGCAACATGACGTTCGACCAGAGAAACCAATACCTATCTGGCCACGCCTCCACTATGAGATCATTTTCGCCTTGGCCCAACCCCTTCCCCTCCAAGTGTATATAAGGCACTGCATTACCGCCATTAAACGAGACTTGATCAGAGCACTGTCTTGTCTCCATTTCTCGTATCTCTTGTTCCCCAAATTCCCACCCCCTCCTCCAGGGCCTGCTTTGACTATCCCGCGGGCCGGGATACGTGGCGCCCGAACAGGGACCTGGAAACGAGGGACGCTGTGAGGAAGAGGACGCCAAAGGATGGTCGACCGCTAACAAAGACAAAAGGAATTAAACTGATCACCGCGGGAACCTGCCGCGTCAGGATCGAAGGTAAGTGAGGCGTCCGAAATGGGACAAGAATTAAGTCAGCATCAAATATATGTAGGACAATTAAAAGAGGCTTTAAAGATACGAGGAGTAAAGGTTAAAGGTAATGACTTGTTTAAATTTTTTGATTTTGTAAAAGATACTTGCCCTTGGTTCCCACAGGAAGGAACTATTGATATCAAAATATGGCGTAGAGTAGGGGATTGTCTTCAGGACTATTATAATACTTTTGGGCCAGAAAAAATTCCTGTGACCGTTTTCTCTTATTGGAACCTCATTAGAGATTTAATAGATAGGAAGGAGGTCGATCCGCAAGTCGTGGCTGCGGTCGCTCAGACAGAGCATATTTTAAAGGTTAGCTCTCGTTCTAACCTTGCAAAGCCTCCGCAAGATACGGAGGAGGGTCTCATTTCCCTCCAGGGTGATCGTGGGAGTGGATCCCAGTGGATGTGCGGATGGCTGG